GCCCAGGTTGTATCACGTGGAGATAAGTCTATCGCACACCCCCGCCAACTCAAGAGTTATTAAACTCTCTAATACACCAATGGTTAGTAAGTCAAACTTTACTATTTTTAATATTGTAATGGTAGAGACATTTAAAACGCCTTCCCGACAAGTATTGTGGAATGAAAATTGATTCACTAAAAAGTAAATAAAACATTGACAAGGAAAACTTTTATTGAGACAAAATATTCAGTTGAGTAGAATTTCAATTACTTAGCATTTTGCCTCACACAATAAAAACTCAGCTTTTTACGCGATCTTAATGACCGTGCGTAAATCATTAGCAAGATTAATGGATAGTATTGAGGTGATGATCGTGTTGTGAATTATCCTAATGAGAATGGAGAGGAGAAATCGTTCAGAAGATCCAACCTTGCTGCCAATACGTGAGATTATAAGTGAGTTGCCTTGGCCGAAAGAACAGAGATAGAAGTAAGCATACTTTTGCTATTTCTCCGATGTTTTTCCATGTGTCAACTTGGGATTGCGTGCAAGCTCTTCTTTTAACCACAGCAGAAAAAAAATCAAACCCGGCTGCCTAGTACTTGCCTCTTCGTGATGTACGTATGAGCGCCCAAATCCCCAGTTGAAGTAAAGCAAGGTCAATCTTCCTAGAATTCTTAACAGGGGGCATGAGTTAGAGTGTCCGAGTTTTTCCCACAATTATTTACAAATTGCGGTGAGACCCGGTGCAAACGATCATACCCAAGGAGCTTCTTAGTGTCATATAAAAGTGACCAGACAAGAAACACAACTTTTGATGTTCACATGAAGGTCGAAATTTCTAGTGTGCTGCATATGGCTTGTAGTCACATTAATTATCTTTCATAATGACTGTGCATATAAAACCCACATGGGTGAGATAGAAAGTCATAATAATAATCGCCTGTTCCTTGGACTACATAAAAACGCCCCATCCTATTACTCAATCCGTCCATAAACACTAATAGGAAATTGATTCAAGGATATTGCTTATCGAGAACACTTAAAAATTTCACTTGCGTCGTGAGGGACTGATTGGTTATCGCAAGACAGGCGACAGAATGCGTAAACCAATAGGTAGACTCCATTAGAGGTAGACCATTAAGTTGCGCGTGCATTTGATTCGTCAGGCCCTGTGACGAATGGCTATCTTGCATGGTCGTTAACTGCACACACCTCCGCACCACAAAGCTCTAGGCGTTTATACAAGCGTGACAGGACTTGTGTGCAAACGTGGTGGTTTTGCGTGCATAAAATCACCCCTTCGCTACTACCAACGTGTTTACGCATTCACTATTCTCTAGTCATCTACTGTGTTCCCCCACCGTCGTGTTCATTCTCTGACTTACTTTAACTGTCTCTCTCGCTCGCACTAACTCTATTTTACCGCCTATTTGTACGTGCGTCCGTGGCCTCTAACGTCCGGCTATAACACTCGCCACACACTCACGCCCAAAGCATTTACAACCGGTCTTTCTTTCCACACACTTTCTTCACTCTCCTCTCTCTCCCTATATTGCTCTATCGCTCTCAATAAAATATGCCTGTATGCGGTGCGTGTGTTTGGTTGTGTTATTGCTATTGCCGCAGCAATTAAAAAGAAAGACGCGCACACAACAACGAGAGTCACGCGTGGGCACAAAAGTCGATTGGTCAAGGATTTGAAATGCTCGCAATGCAGACCAACTACCCTCCTTCTTTACCTGCCGAGAATGAATCAACCGCCTCCTCTGTGACCCCAACTTCCCAAAGTCGTGGTGCAGCCCCTCCAACCCCCGGAGTGATCCCAAATTCAAGTACTCCCCGATACCCACCCACAACTTCTATCTCGGTGCCATTTGCAGGGCAATCTTCTCTGGATGCCCCATTCAACAGAGTCCCTCCATCACAGCCCAACGATTCCTCAAACTCTCTAAATGAAGTCCTACATAGATCCCTTATGGCCTCGTCGTTTGCGTCTTCAAACGATCTGAGCGACCAGGCAATACCAAGAGCCCATTCAAATGGGAAACCCTTTGATCTCAATGCTCTTAGGGAGGCAGCAAATAGGGAGAAGAAGCTTTTTGAACAAAACGCACCCTCAGAAAGGAAGGATGGCAGTATGGGAGGGTATGATTTCCCCTTCCATATGCCCCCCTCCCACTCCAACCAATGGCCAAATCATCAAGATGGTAATCAGTCAGTCCAAGCTGTACCTGAAACCGGCACCTCAGCTAGTAACACCAAATTGGGTTCGTTTTCGCCAAATGTGGGAATGCTACCCTACGCTAATAGCGGATCATCCAAAGATCTAGATTACTTCCTGGCAGCAAATGCTGCTAGAGCTTTGGCGAATCATTTAGGTGGTGGAAATAGTCAATCTTCTTACTCCAGTAACGTGGGGCAGCCTTCGGATGATCGGGCAAAATCACCCTCCATGGGATTCCGGGATATCATGAACTCAAATATCCCACCTCAGCAGCAAACCTCATCAATGGAACCTCTATATGCACACCAGAGAGATAGATCTAGTCCTACAAGAAATTCCTTTGGGCTTCCGTCACTTGGAATGTCTGGTGGAGCACCTCCAAACATGTCCGTACCCTTCAACAGTTCACCACTGTCGTTTTCAGTCCCACCTCATTTTCGTCAAAACAACTTGAACTACCCACCTCGTCCATCGCATCATCTGCTTCCACCGAATCCATTCGGAAGCTTGGATCCAGGATTTGCAGATAGGATGAAGGACTACTCCAATCCCCACCACCTCATCGATCCAAGGTACTCAGCTGGAGGTCCTATGTCTAGGCTTCCAAGGTCTGCCTCGCCCATGGACGGTGATGTCCGAGGAGGGGGAATAATAGGTGATTCCACAATGAGTGACGCATCTCCTAATAGTTCTTCCAGTGGAAAGTTTGTTTCCCCTCATGGTCAACCAGGTGGAGGTTCTGGTAACGGTGGAAATATTGTACTCTATCCATGGATGAATCCTAAGAGTTGTGGTAAGTATGACTTGTATATGAATTTAATGAGGCATGAGTTGACTTTGCTTCCACGCTTGTATCATGGGCCATAATTCACATCGCCGTAACAATTAAGCGTCATTTACTGACACATAAATTTACAGCAGCTGAATCATGCCTGCATGGACTATGCAATCGAAAGTAGACAGTTTGAGAAAGCCTTCATCAGTAGTCATCAGCTTTGTCGGCGGAGCGAAGTGATGAGATAGTGGACTTGGTACGGAGTGCTTTTGACGACTGTGGGAACTAAGTCAACCTACCCTGTGCGGCCGTGTCTTAATAAGCTCATTCTTTAGATTTTTTTCACGTGTAAATAGCCGAATTTTGTGTCATTTCACACGAAAGACCGAGAAATTTGAAGAAACTTGCTTTGAACGCTGCGGTAATTTTACTTTAGTCGCAATAAATCCATTAGTACATTTTTGAACCATTTGCTCTCAGGATCAAGTATCTCTGGCACCGTGTGGTTTCTGCATTTCCCTGAACGATTTCACTAACCTTCGAAACCTAGCTAAGAAGTCATTTGGAGTTTATCCAACCTAAATTAATTATATTACAAATGGTGACTTTTTCCTAATAATCCAATGACTCCCAAAGGAGAATCATGCTTCTGCAATGTCATCATCAATATCAATCAGTTGAGTCATATTTTCTTCATATTGAAAGTCGATATAATTATTTATCGGTTTGGCGTCATTATTACAATATTAGCATATACTGAGGTTGAGCATGGCATTTTATGGCGCAAAGTTGCCTCGACAAATTTCCCAGGCGAAAATCAGCGCCAATGAAACGTTGTATCTATTTATTTTAAACTGGTTAATTATCGTTTTCATTTTGATGTGTCAATAACTATTTATTGTGTAATGATCGTCTAAGTAAATGCAAAAAATATGGTTTACTTTGTCAAAGTAATAATGTAATAAAGTACCTTTATCACGTGTAGCACGTCAAGTGTTTTAAACACTCCAAAAATTTGATTCCCACTAAAAATGTAAACCTTTATATTAACATAAACACAAAATGCAATTGTTAATGAGATTAACTTCAGACTGTTGCAAACAATTTCAACTGGATTCTCAAATTGCCGCTCAAACCAACGTTTTCCACCTCCCACCAAGCAAATTTGTGTTTGTAGCAATTGGTGGGAGTTTTTCTTCCTAATTTTTGTCTAGCCTCAACTCGTTCCCCTCTTCGTGATTGAGATAATTAGGGCAGTTTAATTTGTTGCTGCAGAGAGTATCAAATCCTCGATAATTTTCTCTTTCCTTTTCTTTCACAAAAAAATCCCCCATGACTCCGTCTTGTTAAGTTGCTCCCTCCAATAATTCATTCGCCTTGGGGATTTGATTGTCATTTTAAATGTTCTTTTATCCCATATTCTGGACTGAATGGGTCTCACGCTTATACATTAAACCAGCCCTATACCCGTATTATATTATCGATTGGAAATGGATTATAAGTCAACTCATACTGGGACAAAAGAGTTCATCCACTCATCGCCCACTCAGTATATACTTTTTTGCTTTTCTATTTTTTCATAATGAGTGGCACATATATTACTGATGTCGCTTTTCAGTAGATTGAACCGGCCATTCAGATTGTAACTTTAAAATACACGAAAGTCACCATCTTACTCACTGGAGAGAGAGAGAGAGGGAGGATAGAAACTTCGTTTAATCGATGTTTTCTCAAATGTGGGACGGTTCTGTATTCCCATAGCTATTTGTTTGCGTGCCAATAAGTATATAAGTACAGTGAAATAGGTTGATTAGATAGCTGACGAGCTATTTTTTACTTTAACACGCAAGGGTTTGCTTGCTTGCTTTTTGGATTGAAGATAAGAGTAGTGGGGTAGGGGAGGCCAGAAATGAAGGGAAGTCTGACCCACCATCCCTTCTCACAAGCCCAACTGTCCTTGAGATGAGATGAACTGGGACCTGAGAAGATGTAGGACAGTTTAAGATTTCGCGTGACTGCAACTCCTCTGCGGGGAATACCACAACTGGAAATCTCGCGTGCTCAAACTCAAGCATGCCTAAGCAATACTCACGCTTCCTACTTTCTCCTTCTCTCTCTCTCTCGACATCTTGTAGATACACAATGACAAGCTGGTCGCTTTCAACATTCTCAACTAACGGAATTCCCGAGGTAGTACATCTCACACACTGTCAATCACACCTCTACTCAAAATTATGATGCTAATCTCAAATTTTATACTAAAATCCCCCTCAATACAACATTGGTTCAACTCAGAATGTCAATTCGAATCTTATAATTTATTTTGAAGTAAAAGGATTTCAGATTTGTGATCGATTAAGAAAAATTATGGATCACAACGGTGGTTCAGTTAATGTGAAAATTTATACATGTAGTGGTAGTGGACAGGAGGAATGTTTATTTGGGTGAACTTAAGTAGGTGATGAACTAAAATGTTGGCATTCATCCGAATTTATCAGACACAATCTGGAGTAATTACCATATTGATGTGAAGTGTGGATTTCGTGTTCATCCACCACCAAGCCACGCAAACAAAGGGTTTTGTAAAAGACAAGCACCCCTGAGTTCTCTCCCAACTGCCCCCTTTCGCAGTCGGTCGATTTGTTTTGTTTTATGTCTACTCCACTTAGAACACACAAAAAAAGAATAATAGGTTGGGGCTTCGAGTTTAAATCCCCCTCCATCCTCCTTTGCCGCATCTTCGTTTCCATCGCTTTGAAGTTTCCGCAAACGCGCCTTATGTCGCGCCAAATATAATGGCGCGGTGTTTCGCTGGTTTCCGTATGAGCTGATTGAAAAAAAAGCTATGAGGAGTTAATATTTGAGTCACTATTACAGACATACTCGAGGCGTAGACACTCGCATGTCTTGGGAAATGCTCTTAAGACACACACACACGCACGCACGCACAAACACATGCATTAGTTATCCCAATAAACCGCAATTTTGGGGGAGATCAGACTGTATTAGGAAGAAGGAAGGAATGAATAGGCTCCGTCTGATGGCCAAATAAATGGCTTTCATTATTGCATTCACATGATCATAAATAATCATCCACAAGAGATCCTTAAGGCACATTAGTTTTCCGAGCGAACTACATTATTGAGGGAGAGGTCAGGCTGAATGTGAAAGCGTACTGCTGGATTGGGAGATTGAATGGACGATGAAGAAGGTGTCAAGAATTGACATCATGAGTCTCTATGCGCACGACTGCGTGCAACTGCACTTTGCTTGTGACGTAGGTACACATCGTTTGTGTATGTAAGACTTCGCTTTAAAGAACCAAAAGATCAAAGAATAAATGAAAGACCACTCGCTGGACGGCGTGAAAGGGAGAGAATATGTGTGGCAATGTATTGTGTGCGCAAGTGCGCCGTCCACAATGCAAATTCGACTTTTTTGCGCGCACGGTCGTGGTGTATATTAAAGCCTATTGATTGAGTGCACGCTCGCGACGCGTGTGTGTATGTGTGGATGGCACTTGTGCACCAAATCATGTAAGAATGCCACCTTTGTAGTGACGATCAAAGCACTTCGCTCTTCGCTCGACTTGGTATTAATGGATCGATCTCACAGACTTCCCCCCCCCCCACCCCCCTCTATTAACATATGTGCAAATTCTCTCAGTTCTTAAAAGTACACTCTCTAAGACATTTGCACATATACAAGTGTTATGTAATATCGCTTGCTTATTTTTCACCTTTGAGTTCACTTTGATCTAAAAAAGTACTTCCGTTCGACTCCCGACTTGCGCCTTTGAAACAACATTTTACACATTTGGTAGCTGAAATGGAGTCAGTAGTACTCCTAATACAGTTGATGTACTCCTAAAGCGTTTGTGAAATCTATCACTACTCATTTTCTAAAAGACAACAAACTTGATGAAAAATAAGGTTATTTAATAGTGAAATGTTTATATATAGGGATTCAATGGTTTACGTCGACCATTCGCGTGTCCAACCAATTAGATTTGATTTATTGAATTGAAAGGTGCTACTTTATTAGCCTACAATATTGAGGTGTTTGAAGTGCGTCAACTTCTTTAGTTATCATTATTATATTTCTTTAAAATCGATAATTATTGAAAAAGGTCCCTTTGCTTTCAGATAGTAAGTTCAAATATTTGTATTCTAGCGCTTTAAACTAAATATATAAAAATTAAATAAGGGATTATTTTTACAGTTGGTTAAATAACAAGTTGCAGTTCTACTATCTCACCATTTTCCTGTTTTGATTTGGAACTAAATCGTGCCCTGATAATTGGAATTTGACTATTATTTAATACCCTTCTTTTAATTCAGAACTCGGAATTGAAAACAAACGCACGCGTCAAACCTACACTCGCTATCAGACTCTGGAATTGGAAAAAGAGTTCCATTTCAATAAGTAAGTTGACATTCAAAGCACCTTTGTTCCTTTCTCCATAACTAGGGATCCAGGGTAAAGTGTCAGAGAATTGGCTCTGGAGATTCAAAGATAGGGAGTTTGCCCAGAGTTGAGATGATCTCAAAGATTGGTTGTAAGAAGAGTCAGAAAAGTAGATGAGCGAACGCTGATATTAAAATTAGTTTAGCTGAACTCGATGATTTGGGTTATTGAGTGACTCAAAAGGAATGGACTAAACCGGCGAGACTTAGACAGAGAGAGAGAGGTGTAAAAGCGGTTTGAGGCGCCGAAGTTTGAATAAACCCCTAGAGAAAAATCGATTAACGAAATCGTCGGCGATGGGTGTGTGTGTGTGTGTGTGTTGGTAGTGGCAGTGGTGACGACGACGAGGTGGTGGTATAGAGCTAGAGAAGGATTCGGCGGCGGCAGTGTAATGTCTAGTCCTTTGATCTTTCGGTGGCTGCACACACACACACATGCGCGAGAAACGCGTTGCACACGTTGTCGTCACGCTCGTTTATAGACATTGTCTGGCTGGCTGGTTGGCTAGGTAAAAAGGTAGGAGGTGGATGAGCTTTTTCTACGCGTTCACCCAAGGCGAGAGAACTAGTAATGATAGCCTGGACACCTTTTTCTGTCTTCTAATGGGAACATTTATATCTTCTTCACTTTAACATAACATAGCTATTCAATAAATCGTCAAACTGACCGCACTCTTAAAATCCAGAACCTCCCCCCTCCCC